AAAACCGGAGTAATATGGTCCCTCCGAGATGCATTAAGACTTTATTTAAAAAGATTTTTTGTGTACCTGAGTTTATTATGTGTTCCTATAATCTATGTCAGGGGTAGGCAACCTTTCCCCTTTAAGGGCCGAGGGACTTCAGCTCCCAGAATCCCAGGAGCTATTGGCCAACATGGGACTATTGGCCAACATGGCTGAGGCTTCTGGGAGCTGAAGTCCCTCGGCCCTTAAAGGGGAAAGGTTGCCTACCCCTGATCTATGTTATGAATATATATAATCATTTATTATGTTTCTATAGCCTGTATTATAATGAGATGGAATTCAAATAAAGGCCTGCCTTTGATTGTGAAATATTAACTTGTTTTTTTGTAGAGTCTGTTTTTTTTAAATTTGCTAATTCATTTGCTACATATTTAATCTTCATTAGTAATGTGTTACATGTTGAACTCATCTCATTCCCTATTTATTGGTGTTGGCTGGTATTCTGCTTGAGATTTACTTCTTTGTAAATAGCCTTATGTGTGTGCAGAACTGAACTGAGTTGTTTTGGAATGTCCATATTCACCTAGGGACTGCCATGATGCTAAAATGTACAGGCATCTATATCACACTTGTGAATAATGCATCATGGCTCTACTGTGCATTGGGTCACTCCCAATGCATATCCAAACACCAACTAGAAATTGCTTGAACACAATAGGAGTGTCCATTGTGCATAAAAAGTGTCCAATATGTATCAGAGATGCCCAGTGTATATTACAAATGTTCAGTTGTGCATGAGTACTGTCCAACGAGCATGAGAAGTGTCCAATGCATACCAGAAGAGTGCAGTACAAATCAAGAGTGCCTGATGAACTTCAGGAGAACCTAATGCATATTGGAAGTCCCCCATACACATTGAAACACTTTTGCTGATGCCTGGAAGTACATGTTCACAATTCACTAACACAGTTTCATTGCCTTTCTACACCATAACTATAGATTCATAAGCTTATAAAACATACACTATGAAGCAGAATCTTGGTTATATTTATTTTTGTGAGTTTATGTATGCAAAGAGATTTTGTAGCAACATTGAGAGTAACTGGGCAAAAGAAGTTGTAGCATAAGCTTTTGTAGACTTAGGGACGAAACAGATGCCGACTCTTTGATTGGTGGGTTGGGTTAGGGTTAGGGTTTAACCGCATGCCATGCCCCCAACCTGGTATTTTCCTGGCACAAAAAGAAATGGCAGAAAGCCACTCCTTTTTGCACTGGGAAAAAAGCTGCTTTTTCCACTGTGGTGGCAGTTTTTCTGTGCTTTTGCTGCGTGCGGTATCTAAATGCTGTGCTGTCAGAGTATCAAAAAGCTGCTGCTAAGCTGTTGGTTGGGTGGCTTTCTGGCGGCTTCTCAGCATCTTGGGGGTGCACGTCATGCATACACCATGCCCCCAAGCTGACAGGAAGCAGGCGTATTCTGCTGGTCTGTTTTGGCCCTTAGTCTAATTCCTCATATGCATGGAGTGAACTGATGCACAGGAAGGATTTTTATAATTAGACTGTATGAATACTCATGGAAATGCAAAACCTGTGGTTATGGTAATGAGATAACAAGTTCAGTTTTAACTATGGTCATTGAGGGACAAAGGAAGGAGGAAAGATGTTGATGTCAGTTAAACATTGTAGACTGTATTTCAAGTTTGCTAGCCATGTAATATGTATAATGTGGGTCAGTTACTAATCATTACAGACTATATTTACAGATGTGCTTCACACGTGGTATGTGTAATTTGTATGCATGTATTATACGTATATAGTTCTAGTGGCTTTTGTATATTTCTGGTTCAGTACAATTACACTGGGATACTATTTTCCCATATACTGTGTGTGTGTATATATATATATATATATATATATACACACACACACACACACACACACTGTTCCAATTATTTGTTCTAGGTATTTTTATTATTATTTTTATCATGTTTAGTATTATGCCTTTTTAAAAAAGTGCCACAAACTGAATTAGGACAATCTACACAACCTAAATACCAAAAGCACAGGTCTTTTAACACAGGGAAGAGCTCAAAAATCAATTCATCATTGTTTCCATCTCGACTTTCTGCTCCCTTGAGTTTCTTGAATGTTATTCTCGCTTAGGCTTTTGTACAGCAATGTTCTATGTTCTACTGTCCACTAAATGGCTGTGTTGGGGGAAGGTGGAACTAGGTAACTCCCATGGGAAGGGAGAAGGGAGACAGACTAGAGTTCCTCTTGGGTAGAATGATACTGTTCAATTCCCCATTCAGAATCTTGGCCTATAGATATTTAATTACAGTTTCCAAAATAAGGTTCAGTATAGGGCAGCTGCTAAAAAGGGTAAGCGGCTGTGGGATCATACCTGCAGCTCCTTTGCTGGTAAGGTGTTGGTTCCCCATGGTTCCACCTTCCATGAGTAGCCATGCAGGGATTCTTTCCTAGGTTCTGGACTCCTGCATGATCAGTCACACATAAAAGGGGCTACCATGTTCATTTGCTTGTTTAATTTATTTATTTTATTTATAACCTGCCTTTCAAACTGGGACTCAAGGAAAGAGCTAGCCAAGTTTCCCTCGATAGGAAGTTCCACAGCTTTTCCTCATTTCTCCTATTAGCAAATGATAAGGAATGGTGACAGACAAATGCAAACATCAAAATGTTTGAGCACAGGTGAGTTGTTAAAAATGGTACATACAGGAGGGGATTATCTTTCACAAGTTGCTGCTTTTTTCTTGATGCCATTTATTGCTGTCTGATCTGGCCGTTACTTTGCATGCTTTCCCCCCCCCCCCCAGCATATGAATATAGGTATATTTTACAGCTTCCAAAACATTTAAAATGAAATCCCTGTGTTTTTAAATCTCTGCTACATTTTGCTATGTGTTGTGTTAAAGCTCATAACAAAAACAAAATGATAGATTATACAAATGTTCCAGAGTTAATAGATAAGAATCAAATATAAATATTACAAGTCAAAAATATGTTTACATTAATAAAACATTAATAAGTGCTTATCAGGAATCATAGAGGTCAAGTTTTGAAGAGTCAAACAATTTTTTGACAAGATTTAGTGGCTTGTTTTGCATTTGCTAAAGCTAATCTGATGATATCCTTATTGGGGTTTGTTGGTAGATAATCAATTTCACTCCCTGCAGATCCAACCAAGAGTGTCTCCCTTACAGTTACTGATAAAGCAATTGGCAACAAGCTTCTTGGACACTGCAGCAGATAATAAGGACTGTCTGACACAATTCAGTCCCCATGTGAATAGAAATGAACTTCAAAAACCGTATTTCTGAAATTCTCATCAATAATAAACAATGTGTTGAGGCATCTCTGTGCACAGTCCCATTTGAATACATGGTGCTTCCTCCTGAGTAGACATGCACTGAACAATGATATTTCTACTTCTCATGCAATTTTCTTTCCTTATTTTCATTCCAAACAACAAAGAGTTTCCACTTTCTACCACCTCACATATGATTTAATTCCTCAACAAAATTCATGCTTTCCTAATCCAGCTCTGTATTGCTGATATTATGTTATCTCTCCATTTCTTTTTTTACAGGATAATTTTACCTGCATACAATTTCTATTCATTCCAGGGATTGCATGGATTATGTGTATGTATCATCTGTAGTTTTCTGACCCTACACATTCTCTTGCCCTCCATACATGCTGGAATTAGAGCACCTAACTGTTCTGTGCAGTCTTCTAACAATCTTTAAGAATGCTCTATTCTCTCTCCACTTACTCAAACCTGTACCATTTAGGGAACTAGTATCATCCATGACTTGATAGCATATATCCAAGCAGGCTAGTAATTAGTTGTTGGTTAACTCTGACTCATATTTGATCAATCTTTTTAGGGGACACCGAACCATGCATTTCTGAAAAGGTAGTCTGTTTTGCTTTTAAAGCATCACTTCCAAGGAGGAAGCTTTGTAAGGAGGATGGTTGTGTTACAGGATATATTTGAACCACAACTATTTTTGAACAACCTCAGCTTTGCAAAACCATGTTATATAGTTTCAGTGGATCTGGTCCTTGCACCTATTTAGATTTATCTGAGCCTGCAAGGTTTTTGGGCTGTTTCTTTTAGATGAATTTAACTATGTAATATAATGTATTATTTTTACAATGTATTTGATGTTTATATTGTATATTTTATATGGATAACTTTTGTAATGGCATACGCTATACAAATAAACTTATTTACTACAGTACTAGTAGTTGGTTGGATTTAGAATTAGTCATTTTTGAGTAAACTATAGTTAGTGGACACCCTTTCTTGGATGCATACCTTAAAGGAGAGGCTGAAAGTAACACCCCCAAGATTCTGTCAAGAGACTAGAATCTTTAGTAGG